CCAGTGGCAGAGATGATAAGGCTAGTTGAGGCTTGTTCGATTTTAAGTCCTAGTTCTTGGACTACTTTATGAGCAATTACAAATAGCAATTTTCTAAATTTATTATATAGTATAAAATAATTTAATTGGTGATTTGCCAGTCAATCAGAGAAGATCTGCAAATTTTTATAAGTAAATTTTACTATTAAACCAAATATGGAATGCACCAATCTAAAACTTTTTTCTTACTAAGTAAATCACTCTTGAACTTATAACAAAAGTTGTAGAGCTTATCAAAATGCATCTAATGGTGATAAGAACGTTAAAATTGGCCTGGTAGTTCTTGAGAAATCTTTAAAAAACGTTTCACTGACATATAAAATTTCTTTGAAAAAAATTGTTTCTTTTTAAAGAAATTTTATATGTCAGAGAAACGTTTTTTAAAGATTTCTCAAGAACCACCAGGCTAATTTTAACATTCTTACCACCATTAGATGCGACTTGATGAGCCCTACAACTTTTGTTATAAGCCCAAGAGTGATTTACTTAATAAGAAAAAAAGTTTTACTCCACATTTGGCTCAATAATAAAATTTACTTTATAAAAATTTGCAGATCTTATCTGGTTGACTGGCGAATCACCAATTAAATAAAAATATTTTATATTCTAAAAAACTTTTTTCAAACCTTAATTCTAACTCTAAATACTAACTCTAACACTGTAATATAAAAATTTTTATATACAAACTTATTGAAACTTAGAAAATAATCAAACTGCAGTAATAGTATTACGATTTAAAAAATAAATATAACGATAAACTTTGATAAGAATATTTTAAAAAGATACCCAAAATTTTTTATAAACTTGGCTCAATGCTAATTAGAAGATCTATTTTTAATCTCGCTGAAAAAATTTTGCTATTAGATAAGTATTAGGTTTTGCTATTAAGTTATGTTAAAAAGAGTGTTAATCGTACCAAATTTCGCAAGAAAAACTTTTTGTTAGTGCACAAAATTTGATTTCATAGATAAAAAAGTTGAGTTATAAGCGGTTTTTTGGATTGTTTTTTGATTTTTTGCGTAACACTTGAATTTGGAATCTGATTGGCCAGTGAAATTTTTAGGTTGGGAGCAGAGTTAATTCAGACAACGAAATTTTATTGGTTGAAACAGAGAAGAATTTTTATTGGAAGTGACCAAAACATATTTAAAAGAAGTGATAAAAATTCGAAATAACGAAAATTTCTTTTAATGGCATCAACGAATTCACAAAATAATCATGATAATGAAACATCATCAGAACGTATTAAAGTAGAAAATATTAATGAATATTTAGGAGATTTTCTTCAAACATCACAACCAACATATGATCCAAAAATAATTGAAAAAAATCCTTATACATTTTCCAACAAGACTTCAGAAACATCTACAGCAAAAAATTCCAAAAGTACAACATTTTTCGATATCTTTAAATCACCAATTCATCTTACAGATCTTTTTAGTCCAAGTTCTATAACACAAGATAGTTCATTAAGCGAGCAAGAAAAATTAAAACAACAACGTATTGCAACACAAGCAAAGATTAAAGAAATAGGACAAGATTTTTGGGATAGAAAAAAAGAGATTTACGATGCTACATTAATTAATTGTTCAGAAGTTCATACAGAATTACAAGATTGTTTTAAAAAAGGAAAGCTTTGGGATAGACTGACACTTTGTATTAATATGAGAGATAAATTTTGGAATTGTATGGAACAACAAAAGGTTTGCATCCAATAAAATTAGTCAAGAAATCCACATTTAAATCATATATCATATATAAATTCTAAAAGATCATTATGATCGATGGTCATTATAGAAATTTTTATCTGATATGGGATACGCGTCGCCATTAAAAACAGCAGAAGAAAATGAGGAAATTTTACATAAAGCCGATATTCATTATCAACAAATGAGCGAGAAAGATAAGGCCACTTGATGAAATGTATTATAAAGATAAACTACGAATTACGAATTACAATATGTAACAAATATAAAATGGTATTAACATTTTCAGTTTATCAATAATAGGTTATTATTATTATTATTATTATTTTGTAATATGGATAAATTGAAATTGATAAAATAAAGTAAAAAGGTCAAGTCATAATAATTATAATCTTCTAGCTTTCCTTGGCCTACAACCACCAAATGGCAATGGTGTAGAATCGGTGATTCTCTTAACAATCCAAGGATTTTCAGGTGAAGCGATGGCTTTAAAAGCAGCATCCCTTCCAGGACCGAAACCCTTTATCAAAACCTCGACATTCTTAACTTTAATTCCCTTTTCTTTAACTTTTTCGACTAAAGCAACAGCAGCTTGATGAGCAGCTTCATAACCACCTCTCTGAGCTTTTTTAAAACCGACAAGTCCACCAGAAGAATTAATTAATACATCTTTACGAGAATTTGTTAATGAGACTATAGTATTATTGTAAGAGGCGTGAATATGAATACGATAAAGTTCTTCGGATGGTACTAAAAAGTCAGATAAGAGTTTTGCTACATCAGAACCAGAAGTTTTTTGAGTAGTATCAGATTTAGTAAAAGTAGCAAAATTTGATAGTAAAGGATTAGGAGATGAAGAACTTAGATCAGCGTCATTAGGACCTGTGCTCGCTAATCCACCATGTTTTTGTTTATTTGCAAAATTTAAAAGAAAAGAATCGATTCCTTCAGTATCATTTGTATCATTTGTATGATTTGTATGATTTGTATCATTTGGAGTAGTTTTAGGACTAATGCGATTTCTACCACTTTTTTCAAAAGGAGAAACGGAAGAAGTGTAACGATTTGATGATTGTTGTTGAGAAGAAGTAAAAAATGTAGATGATTGTATATGAGAAATATGAGGAATAACACTTATAGCATTTAGAAATTTGAGTGAAAGCATTTTAGAATTAATGGATGATTTTTGCGAGATTGATAAATAAAGATCGCTCATGATGTCACGTGATGCGGATTACATCGACTATCTATTTTTTGGAATGTACTGTACCAGTACATACCTGATACTGATACATATCAGATACATACGTACGTACGTACGTAAGTACGTAAATATGCAAGCAGCACTTGCATAAACACAAGATAAATTATTATTTATTTACGCTTGGCATAGTTTTTCCAACTGGAACCAATCAAGGTATTGAATTTCCACATGTACTATTAAATTTTTAGGATTTCGATATAGCTATTTAACACCAAGAATCATTTGTCACAAATTAATTCTCAAAATCAATAAATATGTATTAATGGGTTTATTAAGTTTGCAATGAAAAAAAAAATAGATACATGATTCTAATCATCAAAAGTCAATGATTTAAACCCATTTGTATTAATATCAATAAATAAAATGCATGAAATTTGTATTGGTAAAACAAAAATAAAATCCCATTAACATATATATGAACAAACCTTTGTTATGCCATTTAAAAACAAAATCGAAACACAAATCGGAATTGAAATAGATTTTAGCCCAAAACATTAAAATATACAAAAGAATATTCTACAATTCACTAATAGAATCAAGAACATTTTCATATTCCGCCTTAAGTTTAGTACGTTCCTCGGTTAATTCCTCAATTTTCTTTTCTTTATCGGCCACTTCATTTTCAAGTTGTGCGACTTTACGCTCCAAATTTTCGCATTTA